CTCTCCCTCCCTCTTGTCTCCCTCCCTCTTCTCCCCCTCCCCCTCTCCCCCTCCCTCTCCCTCTGTCGTCCAGGCTGAGTGCAGTGGAGCCATCATAGCTCACTGCAGCTTTGAAATCCTGGTCTCGGGTGATCCTCTCACCTCAGCCTCCTAAGTAGCTGGGACTATGGGTGCCACTATGCCTGGCTTAAAAAAATTTTTTTTTGTAGAGACGATTGCCTAGGCTGATCTTGAACTCTAAGCCTTAAGTAATACTCCCACCTTAGTGCCCTAGGGTGTTGGGATTACAAATGTGAACTACTGTGCCTGGCCCAGCATTTCTTATTGACTTTAATTAGAGTCTATTATAAATTGTTACTTTTATCACTTCATGGAGAATGTAAAGGCCTTATTACACTTTAATTCTGTTTACTCCCCTTCTACCTTTTGTGAAATTGTCGTATACTTTGTTTTTTGTGTCTTTAAAATTTCATAAGATTATAGTACTTTCATATAGTTTGTGTTCATACTCTTTTATTCATATTTTTACCCTTTTTTGGTGTCTTCATTTGCATGCCAACCTAGATTATTATAGTGTATTAACATAGTATGATAGTATAATATAGTATATGTAGTACATAATATAGTTTAATAGTAGAATGTAGGTTTGCATGCAAATCTAGATTATTATACTATATTATACTATTATACTAGATTAGAATACTTGTGTGTGTATGTGTGCGTGTGTGTGTGTGTGTGTGTGTGTGTGTGTGTTTAATAAGCATATTTTATTTAAATAAATCCTCCAGTAGGAAATGGAGAATATACTGCCTTTACTTACAAGGCTTTTTATACTAAAAAACAATAATTTTCTTTCAGTACCTTAAAAGTGCTCCACTGTTTACTGACATTTATCATGTCTGTTTGTTGAAAAATCAGCTGAGGTTTATTGTCACTCCTTTGAAGGTAGTGAGCTCTTATCCTCTCTGTACACTCTTAAGATTTTCTTTGTTTCAGATTTTCATCAGTTTTTCTGTGATCTATTTATATTTGGTTTTGTTTGTAATTATCCTACTTAGGGGTTTGTAGAGCTTCTGGGAGAATTTGACTAATACATTTTGTCAGTTTTAAAGCCATTCCCTTTCAAATTTTTTTCTGTTTCAGTTTCTCTTGTACCATGATGTAAGACTTTCTTCACTATGACTCATATATTTATTTTCTGTTCTGTATTCTTTTTTCTTCTGTGCTTTCATGTAGATATTTCCTGCTGTTGTATTTTCCAGTTCACTTACCCTTTCTTCTGCTGTATCTAGTTTGTGGTTAAACACATTTATTGAGCTCATAACCTCAGTAATATTTTATTTCTCTTCTAGAACATCCATGTGAATTTCATATTTTGTTTTTCCTCGTTTATTTTTAATTTTCAAAATATGTATTTTTAATGAAAAGGTATATCGTATAGCTTTTAAGAATCTGTGTAATATTTTGCTCATAAAAATGCAAATTGTGCTGGGTGTGGTGGCTCACACCTTTAATCCCAGCACTTTGGGAGGCCAAGGTGGATGGATCACTTGAGGTCAGTTCAGGAGTTTGAGACCAGCTTGGTCACATGGTGAAACCCCATCTCTACTAAAAATACAAAAATTAGCTGGGCGTGGTGGTGTGCACCTGTAGTCCCAGCTACTTGGGAGGCTGAGGGAGGAGAATTGCTTGAAGCTGGGAGGCGGAGGCTTCAGTGAGCCAAGATAGTGCCACTGCCTGGGTGACAGAGCAAGACTGCATCTCAAAAAAAAAAAAAAAAAAAAAAATGCAAATTGTAACACATAAAGCCAGCAGCTCCTTGGATTTGGTAATTAGTCACCAATCCCCATTCATATCCCCTCTTGCCCTCATTCCCCAGGTGACTGTGTTTTTTAAAAAATTATTTTCATTTTTTATTAGTTTTTTAATGGATATTTTCACATATTTCTGCATGGCAGTTATTTACTTTTTTCACTTTGAAGGTATTATTTTATTGACTTGCATTTATTTCTTAAAGTCACTTGTAAGTTTTATTCTTATTAATTCGAGGTTACTTGTGACTACTTCTAAGGTCTTTTTTTTTGGTTGTCAGTACTTTTTACCTTAATATGCCTATAGTTTGTCTTTTTATTTTACCTTCTTATTTAAAAAATTCGCAATTTTATTCGTAATGCCTGTTGATTTGTGGTATGATCTGTTTCTGTTAATTTTGGAAAGTTCCCAGCCTTTATGTGCTCTGATCCCATTTTCTGTTTCTAGTTTCCTTAGATTTCAGTTTTTGCTTCTATGTTTGACCTTTTTAAAAATTTCTTATGTTTCTTTTGCTCTTTTCTATTTTTTTCTGTTTTCATTCTCGATATTTTAGTCTAATTCACTAATTTCTTGTTAAATCCATTCATTGAGTTATTAATTACAGTTTTACAGTTTCTACTTGATTCTTTTAAGGAATCTAGTTTTCTGCAGAAAATTTCAAACCTTTTATTTTCAGGTCATATTAATTAGAGTTATTTTAAAATAGCTTTCTGATGACATTGCTTGGCTCATGTGTAGGTATATTCCTATTTTTTATATTTTTTCTTGGTTTTTAGTCTTTGAACTTGTTTTCTAGTATCCCCAGTAATAATTTATCTTATTTTGTTGCTGTATAAGAGATGTACATAATTTTGGGGGTACATGTGATAATTGAATACAGTCATATAATTTGTTAAGATCAAATTAGCATACTTGGTTATATCATCAACCTGAATATGTCTTTTTATACTAGAAACATTCAAATTATTCTCTTCTAGCCATTTTGAAATGTATAGTAAAGTATTACAACTATAGTCACCCCACCGATCTAACACTAGGTGTTATTTTTTCTCTCCAACCATATATTTGTACCCATGAATCAATTCTTTTTATCCCTTCCCACTCTACCTCCACTACCTTTCCTGGCCTTGGGTAACTACCAGTCTACTCTCTATCTTTATGAGATCCACTTTTTTAGCTCCAACATGTGAGGGAGAACTTGTGATGGTTCTCTTTCTGTGCCTGGCTTATTTCACTTAACATAATGACCTCCAGTTCCATTTATGTTGTTGCAAATGACAGGATTTCATTCTTTTTCATGGCCGAATGATATTCAGTTTTGTATATCTAATACATTTTCTTTATTCATTTGTTGATGGACACTTAGGTTGATTCCATATATGTGAACAGTGATGCAATAAACATGGGGGTACGGATATCTTTTTGATATATTAGTTTCCCTTATTTTGGATATATACCCAGAAGTGGAATTACTGGATCATATGGTAGTTTTTAGTTTTTTTGAGGAACTTTGTACTGTTCTCTATAACGGTATACTAATTTTCATTTCCAGCAATAGTGTACTAGGGTGCCCCTTTTTCCACATCCTTGGTAGCATATTATTGCCTGTCTTTTGATAAAAGCCATTTTAACTGGATGAGATGATAGTTCATTGTAGTTTTGATTTGCATTTCTGTGGTGATTAGCGATGTGTCTTTTTTCATATATCTGTTGGCCATTTTGTATATCTTCCTTTGAGAAATGTCTGTTTAGATCTTTTGCTCATCTTTAATTTGGGTTATTTGTTTTTTGCTAGTGAGTTGTTGGAGCTCCTTATATGTTTTCGTTATTAATCTCTTATTTGATGGGTAGTTTCCAAATATTTTCTCCTATTCTGTGGATTGTCTCTTTGTTGATTGTTTGCTTTTCTGTGCAGAAGTCTTTTAGTTATAATATAGTCCTGTTTGTGTGTTTTTGTTCTTGTTGCCTGTGCTTTTAAGATCTTACACAAATTTTTTTTTACCAAAACCTGGAGCATTTCCCTTAAGTTTTCTTTTCCTTTTTTTTTTTTTTTGAGATGGAGTTTCGCTCTTGTTACCCAGGCTGGAGTGCAATGGCGTGATCTTGGCTCACTGCAACCTCCACCTCCTGGGTTCAGGCAATTCTCCTGCCTCAGCCTCCTGAGTAGCTGGGATTACAGGCACGTGCCACCATGCCCAGCTAGTTTTTTGTATTTTTAGTAGAGACGGGGTTTCACCATGTTGACCAGGATGGTCTCGATCTCTTGACCTCGTGATCCACCCGCCTCGACCTCCCAAAGTGCTGGGATTACAGGCTTGAGCCACCGCGCCCGGCTAAGTTTTCTTTAGTAGTTTCATAGTTTCAGATCTCACATTGAAGTTTTTAATCCATTTTGATTTGATTTTTGTGTATGGTGAGAGAGAGGAATCTAGTTTTATTCTTTTGCATAAAGTTATCCAGTTTTCCCAGCACCATTTATTGAATAGGGTGTTCTTTCTCTGGTGTGTGTTCCTGTCAACTTTGTCAAAGATTAGTTGGCTGTAATTGCATGAATTTATTTCTGGGTCTCTATTCTGTTCCATTGGTCTATGTGTTTGTTTTTATGCCAGTACCATGCTGATTTTGTTACTACAGTTAAGTACTGTGATGTCTCCAGCTTTATTCTTTTTGCTTAGGTTTGTTTTGGCTATTTGGAGTATTTTGTCGTTCCATATAAATTTTAGGATTTTTCTATTTCTGTAAAGAGTGTCATTGGTATTTTGATAATGGATTACGTTGAATCTGTAAAGGGCTTTGGGTAGTATTGTTTTTATAGTATTCTTCCATTTAATGAGCATGAAATATCTTTCCATTTTTGTATCCTCCTCATTCTCTTTCATCAGTGTATTACAGTTTTCCTTGTATAGATCTTTCACTTGTTTGGTTAAATTGATTCCAAGATACTTTATATTCTTTGTAGCTATTGTAAATGGGATTGCTTTCTTGATTTTTCTTTTTTGGCTTGTTCACTGTTGGTTTTTCCATGTTGATTTTGTACCCTGTACCTTTACTGAATTTGTTAATCAGTTCTAACAGATTTTGGTGGAGTCTTTAGGTTTTCTGTTTTTTTTTTCTTTTTTTTCTTTTTTGTGATAAGGTCTTACTCTGTCACCCAGGCTGGAGTGCAGTGGTACGATCATAGCTCACTGCAGCCTTGAACTCCAAGACTCAAGCAATTCTCCTGCCTCTGCCTCCCAAAGTACTAGGATTACAGGTGTAAGCCACCACACCTGGCTGTTTTTATCTTTTTCTAAATAAAAGATGTCATCTGCGAAGGAGGCTAATTGGACTTTTTCTTTTCCAATTTGGATGGCTTTTATGTTTCAATAACCAGAAGGGGTACCAACAGGTTTGTAGCTTATTTGTTGTTCACTTAATAGTTCATTGTAGGTATTCAGCATGTGACCTTTCACATGTTGATGGGACTGAATTTATTGTTATCTTTTGACTCCATCATTCTTTAGAGAGTCCTGCTAGGTCCTGTTCATCTGGCCAGTAAGTGGGGAATTGAGGGAAAGAGCATAGTCAATGATACAGGAGACTTTTAGAAAAATAAACCAGGCCTGGAATTAGCTTATCTAATTTTCCCCTATATTCTAGCATGCAGAACTTAGTCACGTGGCCATCTGACTGCAAGAAAGACTGGAAGGTGTCTAGCTTTGTGACAGGAAAGAAAGCAAGTGGTTTTGGTGCATATGGTAGTGTCTGTCATGGAGGCTGATACAGTATTAATAATTTAGGCTTGAGATGATGATAGCTTGGACTAGGGTGGTGGTAGTGGATTTACATTCTCCAGTTGTATTTAGGAGATAGATTCGATAAGGCTTGATATATTATTTAGGGTTTAGGCTAGTGAGCTATAACAGAGACTCCAGAACAGAGTAGCTCATGCAAGATAGAAGTTGCTTCCCCCTTATAATAGTTTAGCCATTCTTAGTTCATCTATGGTTTTACCTTTAGATGCTGTGAAATATTGGTAAAAACTGATAAAGTTATCATAAATGACTGAACAGGATTCCAGCTTATCTTTCTGTACTGTTAGGGACGTCGTACTAGTTACATGGTTTCTCAGGTAAGCTTAATGAGTAATCTTG